AAGCCATTCACATGCACTCGGTCATTATACGTTTACCTCGAATTTTTTCCACACTTAGCTGGACGGTGTCAAGTGTGAAAGTGATACTTTCCGTTGCTAACCTTTCACTCACTCTTTCCATTCATTCATTCACTCATTCATTCCCAACTCAACCACTGATATCAGTGTTCCCGACGGCTTGAACACTAATAGCGTTCTAGGTCCTAGTTTATTGACTGGCTCTCCAGCGACCGTGCTCGCGTGTATGTGCTTCCCTGGTTTTGGCACACCCACAACTGCATGTACGCGGTTTCGTCCTTAAAGAAATTGAGACGTGACTTTTTTCATATCTGGCTTATTCGATGAAACAGAGACTCCCATTTTTATGTACACATGTGAGTCAGGCATGCAATTTGAGGCGTTTGCTATGCTTGGTTGGCAAAACACAAAACGGTCCAACAAATCACGATTGCACGTTTTTCTTTGTTCTACTGACATGATTCTAGACTGTATTCTGAAGCTCAACATTCAAATTTCGTCACCATTTTTTCAACTGTTGCGTGGGTACGTTGGCATGCAACTGAATGTATAGTTGCCCCTCCCCTTGGACAGGCTATCTTCCAAAGATATCGCTCTTAGTTTGCTTTTCGAGGCATTTTCCTCAGTAAACTTATCCCCAGAAGAGACCACAGCTGATCAGTTCCCTAAGGAGTATTTTCGGAGAGGAAAAACTATGATACCTTTTCTTTTTATCAGCATTGTTGCAATGTTGCAACTCGTGCCTCAGGGAAACGGTATTTGCAATATTCAACAAAACATTCAACGGAATGCAACTTAGCTGTAGCTAGATCGCAAAATGCTTATCGTCCAGCTATACCACCCTTCCGGTGCCTAACTCTCATTCCACCTGAAGAAAGTACGAGGGTTGGGATACTGCCAGATTGCCCAAGCCTAGACAGGGGAAGTCGAGAGGTGGAGGTCGGGTTCGAACCACGTACCTTCCGGCCAGTAAATTCGCGCTCTAACCACTTGGTCCATCTCGCAACATTATTCCTAACCCACATTCCTGTTCACAACGCCGTGAGAAATTACATCCTATTGGTATTCGAGGCTTGCATACTACCGATTGTCTGTCAATTCTGCAAATCTGTCCTTGTTTCTGCCTCAGTAAACTCCCTTTCCAGGGAAAGGGGGAAATTAGTTGGTGTGCTACAGTTTACAGGATGACCGCGATCCTGACTTATTAACGCCATTCTTACTGCGCAATGCGTTAATCAACAATTAAGTCTTGGTTGATAGATGTTATGACCGTAGGGTATTAATGTTCAAACTATTTCGTTCGTTCACAATGGAATAATCTATTCTAAAAATTCCTCCATTATAAATGCTTTTGCAGAACGAGAAGAGATACTGGATGAATCTGAAATCCTCATAAACTTCACGGGGTGAGAAAGTGATCGATTTACGATGTATAGACATCAACTAGACAGTGGGAACCAGTCGACCAATAACCAATGTATCTATGTACAATTGCACTTGAACTGAAAACAAAACGCAGTGCCGTTCTCCCAGCTAGCTCATCACTGTCGTGAGTCGTTTCAACCCTTTCCAATTTAACTTCTTCACGACCAGCTGCGTCCGACCTGGTCTCGTCCTCTGGCACTCACCAGGGCAGCGATAGCCCACCGCCATTCCCATCAGATTCTGCCTTCACGGAATGATTGTTCTGTTCCCGCGTGCACGGTAGATGACAGTAGAGGCCCTAGAATGCATGCCCTTGATCATGGTCTTGTTAACCCGGTTAGTTGATAGCGTGCTTTAAATAAATGTTAAGCTGTGACACCCTTTGGGTGTCTAGCTGTCATGCCTCACGAGGGTACCATTAGGTCTGAGATATTTTTAGGCTGCCCAAACCTTAATTGGGACAGTCGAGATGCCTAGGCCAGGTTCAAACCATGAACCTTCCAGTCACTAGTTCGCAACTTAACCATTGAGCGCACTGTCGTCATAGCTGTTGTTGTAGCTAACTACTGAAAATGCTGTATGGAAGACCATTTTTCCGTAGAACGCTAATCGGCGTGGTGGCTATCAGTGAGTTTCAGAAAGCCAAAACGGATTTCCATTTGTCTACGGTCTGTTACCCCTGCCGTGAGCTTTTTTGGCTTTTCTGGTTGGTTTTGGTTCTTTTTGGATTAGTGTACGAAACACCCATCCCTGCAGTTCGAGAAAGTCCACCTCACCAGTTTCTGGGTTCAATCCCTGGTGTATGGAACCCGGTGTTTCATGAAAGATACATTGACTATCTTAACGTCCCTGCCCACCAACAATCACAACGGATCTGTCTTGGAAGTGTTGTGTCCGTCAACTCAATTATCAGGGAGCTAGAGAATTACCTCTTCATCAGTTTAGTTGACACGGGTCGTCCACCACTCCTCTTGAAGCCTATTCATCTATGGAATCCTGTATCATTCCGTGACAAAACCGTACCCTCATCTTCCACCGCCATAATGTTAAGTGTACAACTGGCCAGATACTTTGTCTGCGACAGTGCACGCTCCACTCTTTCGCGGCATACAGGCATGACTCAGTCACATTAGGTGTTTACACCGGTTTGTATGGCGCCATGGAGCACCCCGGGGAACCGATTCGCCGACATTACACCTTGGTTTGGTAAGACTGGTTGACGGATCAAATTACTGGACTTCATGTGGCGGTCGTCCTAACGCATCGTGTTTGCTGGGACACCTCACTACGCTCACAGGGGTGTTGCCACGCTTTCCGATGCGCGAAGACTGTAGAATTTGCTCTTGTGCTGTTTTGTTCACATACCCATGACAAAAAACTTTAAGAGATAATTTCAACACATTGTACATTAACTAGTAAATTCCTGTTAAGTTTATATTAATAAACTTATCAGGTAAACATCGGAGTGCAACAAAAATTTCGCGAAAATATGA